TATATTTGTTTATTTTTATAGATCTAAGTACTATATTGGTTCAAAAAATGTTTAGAAACTTAATCGTTCAAAATATGAAAGTCCATTAACTTTTTTCAGACTTTTTTCATTATTTTACCACATTAACCAGTTGTATAGGTAATAAAAATGTATCTAACAGGTTTTAGAAAGTTCAATGAGTTATTTAACATGTTTTGAAATGTCCAATGACTTATTAGTTCTAAAAAATTGTCCAAGAACTTAATCTATTCTATATTATAAAGCATTTGATAAAAGCTCTTAAAAACAATTGTTTATGCACGAAGTACTGTTTATTAATGCATATTACTTAAAATTTAAGATTACAAGTAAATTGTGCATAAGTACAACTTATTAAAGCTTCATACTTAAATACGTCTAACTAATTGCAGATAAACATAATCAAATATTGGATAAACATCTCATTTTAAATATAAAAAATCTAAAATATAATTAGGATAATCATTGATAACTAACAGAATACTTAGTTATTATCTTTATAAAAAATTATATTATTAAACCAAAAATAAAAAAATGAGTTAAAAAAATACAAAAAAAAGAAAAAATTTAAATAGTTAGTATGCATTGTGCGAGTACTCCAAACACTAAAATCAATTCATCTCGATGGTTTATAATTAGTTATATTTGTCGTTCTTATAATTTAAATTTTAATTGCTTTTTACTTCTCTCTGGTTTGCAATTCATTTTTATTTTGGTCTCTCGTACTTAAAAATGGTTGACCACTTACGGCCTTACTAATTGAGTATGAAAAGAACCGAGAGTTTTATCCGGTAAGAAACATAGCAAAGACCGAGAATCTTACCTAATAAACGCATACCAAGTTTAGGTGCATCTCTTTTCATGTATCAATTCGTTTAAATGCAGAAATAGAAAGCAGCAGGTGGAGTTTTTATGGGTAATCTTTACAAAAATCCACATGAATTCTTCCTCACCTACCAAAAAATCTCTCTTTAATCATAAACCAAATCTTTGATCTCTTTTACCAAACAAAAAACAACCAAAACCTTCGGTTTAGGGTCTAGGGTTTAGGGTTCTTACGGCTCCTCATCTTCTTTCTCCACCAATATCTTCTTGCACGCCTCGTAACACATGAACGAAATCCCGGCAGCCGGCACGATCTTTATACAACTCGGTCCCAGCCCTCGGTACAACCCTCTCACCCCTTCCTTCTCCAGAATGGTTACAAGTGCATGCAACATGTTGTCATAGACTCGGCCGTTAATGGCACCCGCCTGCATATGTTTCCGAGCCACCTCCAGTGGGAACGTTGCGCTACTCGAGATCGCGCCAGCCGCTGATCCGATCAACAGAGTTGCAATGTTCCCGATTTCATCCTGTTTCAAGATTTTCTTGTATGTTTTGCGTAACGTGTCGTATGCGAAATAGTTTGTAGCGGCATATGGGACTACGCCGATTAGGCTTGGCGTGAGGCCGCGGTATAGTTCTGCGGGTCCCTCCTCTTTCACGATCTTTAGAAACGCGTCCACGAGATTCTTGTACACGCCTCTCTGAAGAGAAAACGAGCATGTGAATAGGGATACAAGTTGTTTGATTTATGAGCAAGGTTAGTTGTGGGGCAATGAGAACCGTAAATATTTTGAGAAGATAATGACATTCATCATGAATATAATGAATATTCATGACGAATGAATATTTGGTTCCATGGTTCTTGGAATATATACGGTTAGTTTTTTTTTTTTTTTGTAAGGGTGTCCGGGCCAAAGCCCGACTAATCCCCGGCAAATTTGGAGGCTAAACATGGCCCCACTTAAATGTCGCCAACACTCCCCTCATAGGGCTCGAACTCGGGTTCATGACTATGCCATGCCCAAGCCTTTACCACTAGGCTGGAAGGTCTTTGACTATGCCATCCCCGGTTAGTTGTTTACCTGAACAGTGAGTCGTGTTTTCAGTAACTCGAGAGGGTAGGTGCATATGGTGGAGCTGATTCCGGCAACAGCACCTGCAATTAGTGACTCGGGTACACGGGGTTTTGGCTTTTCTCCGGGTTTAGGAGCCAAGCTTTTCTTGACGGTGTCATAAGCAAATAACTGCAAAAGATTGCATATGGCTTCACACGATGAAAATATAGCCAGTGGAAATGAAGTTAACGGCATAATATCCGCCAAGAAACAGTCACGACCATAGCCAACCAACAAGTTTGTTTTTTTGAAGTATATAATATTTATATACGGCAAATAGAACAAATAAACTCACACACCCTCCTCACCTTCGGTGAGGTTTGAACCCTTGACCTGCTAGGAGGCCAAGGACTCACATACTGCTAGACCAACCAACAAGTTAACGGCATAAAATCCGCCAAAGATGCCTAAATATCCTAATAGACCGCTTTATAGGACTAAAGTTTATAAAACCGTAAACAATTGTGCAGCCTATATAAAGGTGCTACAATAGGATGCCAGGTCATATTCGGACATCCTAACAAGTGTTTTAGAACACTTCTCGAAAGTGTCCTATGAACACATCATTTCAAAGGACACGTGTTTCTATCCGTTTTTTTCCGAATAATATTAATATAAAAAGACTAATAAGACGTTTTATTTCAAAAAATGTCGTAAAAAACTTGTTAGGATGCCCATAAGCGTCCTATCAACTTATTGTAACACCTGTACATAGAACGCACATTTCTTTTTCCTATAAACTTAAAGTTTGATAAAACAGTCTATTAGGATATTTACACATATTTGACGTCCTATAAAACTGATTTTGTTGTAGTACCCTTAACGCAACAATTAGTGATACCATCACAATGTGCATTTAGATTACTGCAAAGTACATTGAACAGTAACCACAAAAGCCATATAGATAAGATCACTTGAAAACGATTCAAATGAGTCGAACAACACACATAAGATTAATTAATCACCAAATTCCGCAAACCCAAATGATATTCAACAAGCAATAAAAACCAGGTGTAGATATGAGGATGCAAGATAGAAGTTAACAAATGAAACCACAAGGGTGGTGCCTGATTGGTTTGAGTTGGCTCCAAAGGTCAAAAGTACCAGGAGGTCCCAGGTTCAAATCCAAGGAGGAATAAAAATCCCTTTGTGGCCACGGATGTTCAAATAAGGTGACTCCGGGCTATCTGCAAAGCAGATGGTCGCCCTAGGATTGGTCGGCTCGTGTTAGAAAGATTAATTGGAAAAACATAAGGGGGCATAATTGGAAATAAGTGAAAAAGCCCCCGAAACTTATTGAAACGCTACTAACCATGGTCAGTCATACATATGAATTATGATCAAACAATTGAGAAGAAAGGCAATGGATGAACTATTCACATATTCATTGTGGGTTTACTATGATTAGTTTTGGGGTAAATATATGAAGATTATATAGAAGCAAGTTGTACCTCGATGGCCTTGCTGGGGGCGACACGAATGACATTGACCAAATTGCCCCTGAAGAGCCCTGTCCAACCTTCAGTCTGCATGATATCTTGAAAAACTTCAGTAGTAGAATGCCCACAACTCCCTACCATCAAATGAGTCCTTATCGTCTCCAATGGAGCAACAGATGTTCTTGAAACTGCCCCTGCAATTGCCCCACTAATTAACCTTCTCAACGAAGGATTCCCAATCTTGATCTTCAATTTCAACCCATCTTTCTTCTTCGAAAATCCACCTTTCTCACACTCCCCATTTGCCTCCATTTTTGGCACTCGAACCGCCATAAAACTGGACTCCGGTGTCGAAACAACCTTCGACAAACATGGAAGCTTGACACCTTCATCATCATTTAGATTTGTGGAGTTTCTTGAATTAGGGTTTATTCTTCCAAAATCACCCCTACCAGTCTGCCCAACACTTGCAAATAAACTCCCAGATTGAGAAAGATTATCATCTCTAGAACACCAAAGAAACCCTATTCCAGAATTTGGGAATAACTTATCACCATTGTTATCCAATAAACTTCTTGTATCCATTCAATTCAACTCACCACCAAGATTTACTGTAAACCCCCCCAAAAATTGCCTCTTTTTCTACAATAACATGATTATAAAACAATGAATACATAAATTAAGCCCCAAGATAAGACCACGGCTGTGTCATTAAGCTAAGAATATCCTAATGGAACAAAAGAAATCTACCCTAAAACCGATGGTAGCAAAAACTTTAGTAAAATTCGAATCTTTTAAAAGAAGCCCAATTTGGTGATGAATGCAATGAAGAAATACAAATCTTTAAACTGGGTTTTTGACGACAGAAAACAGGGGAATAATACAAAACGATGAAATGGGTTTTACTCTACGAAATATGATGGAAATATAGAGAACCAAATTCAGCGATGAACAGTGTGAAGAACTGCAAATCTTGAAAATGGGGTTTTTGATTAAGAAAAGTAACAAGTCATTAATGGAGAGTATTACCAGGTGAGTTGTTTGATGACAATGGAGGTCAGACGCCTAATCCACTCATGCATTTACTTCTTGGTCTCTCTCTCAAGAAGAATTGAAGCGAGAGAGAGAGGGGAGAAAACGATGGGGGTGTTTGGTGAAAAGGTTGGTGTTCTTCTTCTTCATGTATATAAACACCATGACCTAATTTCGTATCGAACTACAAGATACTCTTTCAAAGTATATGAGGTTTTTAATTGTTTTTGGTCATGATTATATTAATATAATAAGAATCATAATTATTGGAATGAAAAAGCTAACATTAAATCATATAAAAATGCACTTTTAACAATAACATAATTTAAAATTATGTTTGTGTAGGTCTTTAGGAGTATTTGAGATTGTTTATAAAAACAACTTATTGACATATTTTGATGTGACATCGTTGTTAAACACTTATAAATGTTTGGATAAACAACTTATACAAGTGTCAAACCGGTAATAAGAAGTTTTTGAATAAGTTAAACTCTTCTGACTTATGATAAGTTGATAAGTATTTTTGGAGAAAATCACAAGTTATTTCAAATAAGCAATCCCAAACACCCCCTTAAACTCCAACCGGCCGGCAAAAAGAACCTGATTTTACAAGGCACAACGGATATATCAATGTTATGAAATGACATAAATGTTATATGTTTGGAGATGAGATGATTTTTGGTGTTCACGAACTCACCAATTTACAGTCTTTTTTGTTGTTAAGGTTAAGAGTTTTTAGTTTTAAAATATTTAGTAAAATTCAATATACCTACTAAAGTTATAGGATTTGTGTTTTAATTTGAAAAAGAGAAAGAAGGATCCATCACCAAAAGTAATTAAGTTATTGAGCTTTTTTTAGATAAATAAACATTGGATTTTTTTTTTTCATTTTAAATAACTAAGGGGCCATTTACCAAACATTTACTAGGTAAATGTTTATCAGTAAAATTTCAACAATATCATTTATTTACCATGTAAGATTTAGTCAACAGAACGGTATCGTATGCAACAATTTACTCGTTAAACACTAACCATGGTAAGAGTCGTCGCCCTCACTTACTAATTAAGATTCTCGATCATTGTCTTGCTCTTATCAGGTAAGATTCTTGGTTCTTGTCATATCCATCCATCAAGGTAATATGAGTTGGTAAATGGCCCCTAAGTCATTGAAATTTTTTTAATAAATAAATCATCAAACTTTTAAAATTTGATGACTTACATCATTTAAATCCAAAAAAAAACTACATGTAAAGTTGCAATTGATTAGAAAGGTGTTGAAGTAAAAAAAAAATCTTTAATCAGTTTTACTGTTTCCAAAACTCAAGTCATTCAAACTCGTCGAAATCAATGCCATCGCCATTCACTTAACAACCGTCCATCATTGTCATTGGCCGCTGCCATCGATCCCCCTATTTTTGATCTGTCTACACATACTCATGAAATTATTGGAAAAGAGGAATAACCTAAAGACAAAAAACATATCAAGAAGAGGGAGATCGATGGCAGGGGCCAATGGCGGCAATGGACAGTATGGAGAACTGACGACGAGGGGAGCATTGTCAGTGGGTGAGGGATTTGAATGATGTAGGGTTTGGGAACGGTAAAATTAAATTAGGTTTTCTTATGTTAAACCTTTTATAGCCGTTTACAAGTATCTTTTTTGGGTTAAAAGAATGTACGTGACCAATTTGAATGCAAAATGAGAAAGTTTAATACATTATTTATGCAATAAAAAGTTCATCAAGTTTTTCTGGGTTACAAGTCTGATGTAGGTGATCGATTTGGATTAAAAGTGCGATGTTTATTTATAAAAAATATATATCAGAAACTTAATCATTCAAAATGAAAACGTTCATTTAGTTTTTCTGTATTTTTTTCATTCACAAACGCTTAAAACTATGTAGTCAAACAAAAAAATGATGATGGATAGAAGCATGTGAAAGTCATTATGGATTTAGTTCATTCAAGTAGACTCTACGAACCTATGGAATTCAATTCAAGAAAATTAAGACTAGTTGGTTTAAAAACGTCAAAATCACACATACACGTAAAGCCATCAAGATTGAGGGCAGACGGTGAAAAAAAACACAAAGCACTACAACGAGAGTTGAGAGGGGACACGACGGAAAAGCAAGAGCCAAGTTGTAACTCACAACATGATTGAGGGTTGCAGGATGAACAATAACAAATTGAAAATCTACCCACGGGGGTTATCTAAACCGCCTACATCGCATAAAATCACATGTGATAAAGATGTTGTACTTTCTTGCAAAAATGAAGGTGTTCTCGTTGGAACCCTTACGTACACGTGCATGCACACACATACACACATATCTATATATATACTATATTATAAAGCATTTGACAAAAACTCTTAAAAACCATTTTTTTATTAATGCATATTACTTAAAATTCAAGATTACAAGTAGATTGTGCGTAAGTACAACTTATTAAAGCTCCATATCTGAATTCGTATAACTAACTGCAGATAAACATAATCAAATACAGGATAAAAATCTCATTTTAAATATAAAAAATCTAAAATATAATTAGGATAATCATTGAGTTCTAACAAAATACACAATTATTATCTTTATAAAATGTTATATTATTAAACCAAAAAATAAATTATTTCGTTATTAAACTTAAATTAAATTATAATAGAAAAACAAATTAAAGAAATCATATAAAAAATGAGAAATTTTAAATAGTTGATTTGATATTAACATTGATATATATATTTTTTCAAATTTTTATAATATATTCAAATTTATATTCTATTCAAAAATAAAATCATTATTGATTTCTTAAAAAAACATAAAATCATATTATAACATCAACATAGACAAATAATAAAATAGAACATTAAAATCGAGATGTGTCATCGCTGCATTGTGCGAGTACTCTTCTAGTTATATTATAAAACATTTGACAAAAACTCTTAAAAACCATTTTTTTTATACATGAAATACTGTTTATTGATGCATATTACTTAAAATTTAAGATTACAAGTAATTTTGCATAAGTACAACTTATTAAAGCTGCATTTTTAAGTTCGTGTAACTAACTGCAGATAAACATAATCAAATAGAGGATAAACATTCATTTTAAATATAAAAAATATAAACTATAATTAAGATAACCATTGAGTTATAACATAATGTTTAATTATTATCTTTATAGAAAATTATATTATTAAACCAAAAATAAATTATTTTGTTATTAAACTTAAATTAACGTATAATAAAAAAAATTGAATTAAAGAAGTTATACCAAAAAAACGATAATTATTAAATAGTTAATTTGATACTAATATTGATTTATTTTTTCAAATTTTCATGCTATATTCAAATTTATATTTCATTCAAAATTAAAAACATTATCGTTTTCTCAAAATCACATAAAATCGTATTATATCGATAGAGAAAAAAAATAAAAACTAAACATTAAAATGGAGATTTATCTCGCTGCATTGCGTGAGTACCCTTCTAGTATAATTAGGATAATCATTGAGTTATAACAAGATACTTAATCATTATTCTTATTAAAAATTATATTATTAAATCAGAAATAAATTACTTGTTTACTAAATCTAAATTAAATTATAATTAGAAAATTGAATTAAAAAATTACACAAAGATGGAATTAAAAATTACTTGTTTACACAATTATATATATATTTTTTTGAAATTTTATGATATTTTCAAATTTATATTTTATTCAAAAACATTATCTCTTTCTCAAAACCACATAAAACCCGTATTAAAACATCTACAAAGATGGAATAAAACTAAAATCGAGATATATCTCAATGCATTGCGCAAGTACTTTTCTAATATATATATATATATATATATATATATATATCAAAAAGAAACGAAGTGGCTTAGACATATTTGAAAATAAATGAATTGCTAGTTGTAGAATATTTCCTAACGTTTGTCTCACATCATGACATAAGTAAGCAGTTATTATGTTCATTTGTGACCTTATAATGCAATCGCATTCTCTGGTCCAATTGCCTCTTGCCTGCCAATGGATTCAGCAGCAAAACTGTCTCACGACTTTCTGAACCAAGCTATTTCTGGGAGCAAACTCCGGACATATTTATTTCTTTGTTCTTATCAATTCCTGTAATGTAAAAAAGAACATCCAATTTCTAAAAAATCCCAAATGTTTCCATTTTTGAATACATATATATATATATATATATATATATATATATATATATATATATATATAATGGTCCATTCAAGAAAGAAATGATTAGTTTGTGGTAACCGTGAGATCCAATCTCAACCACAAATCAAAGATTAAATTGGAAAATAATAATTTTGGCAATTTTAACTAAAGTTTTAATTAAGGGCATTTTAGTCATTTTAGATTTCTCTTATCTCCTCTCTTTCCTCTCAACTCTCTCCAACGAACATCATATTGACACATGATACACACAGTGATACGCTTCATAAAATAAAGAAAAAACACAGTGTGATACACTTGGTAAAGAAAACATTACCTGATATATTGTGTTACACTTCGTAAAACAACAAACATATATTGTGATACACTTCGTACAACGACACAAATACATTGTGATACACACTATGATACCAGATCTGGTTGATGAATACAACTGTGATACCACTATGTTATCAGTGCGATACCCAATAACTTTTAATAGTAATAAATTATATATTTATTTTCTTAATTGTAACTTCATAGAAAGAAACTTCTATAATTTGTTAGATTAATAAGGAAATAGTACCAATCTCTTTGATTGATAACCTTTAAAAAATATTGATAAAATTACTAATATACATTTTTCTTAATTAAGGTAAGACAATTAATATAATAAAATGATTGGCTCATATTAGACATTCTGATCACGGTTACCACAAACTTATTAGTTCTCATTTGATTACGACCATATATATATATATATATATATATATATATATATATAGACTTGGGATCATGTGAGACCAATTGTTTTTCGTGAGACCACTAAGACCAATTCTCAACCCTTGGATTAGATCTACAATCGTCAGA